CATCTATTTTTAACAAGACATCCTTTTTGCCACTTTAGGCAAGCATGCTGAAAACACTAAGAAACGAACCGCAAAACCAACGTGACACTGCTGAAAAGTTCCCGCGAGAAAATTGAGCGCTTCTGGATAGCCGGCAACATGGTGGGTCTTGAACTGTGCGCGAGTAATACAATTCCTTTTTGCTCAACGACAGTGACGTTTTGTTAACACAAGTTTGGCCGAAATATTCTATCAACTCAGTTTCGATCGCAGATCTAGTGATCTCAGACGTACTCATACCACCTTGAATGAATACTAGCGCGACAAGAACAAAAACGAGAAAGGAACAACAGACTACAGCATTGCAGTCTGTCGCTCGGTGTAGCCTGGTTGCCGCTCGCAGGCAACCAGGTAGTCCACACCATGGCTCGAGATCTCACTGACCGAGACGTGGCTGATTCGGTGGCCACGTTCACCTACGAGAGCGGGGCGATGTCATTATGCACACAACAACTGAAATGGTCGTGCGGTAATCGCCTGACCACATTCAACGACATTACACAACACTCCCGACTAAACAGGCTCCAATGCTCACCATCACACAACAAATTGAACAAAAGGCAGGCCGTAACCCTGAGTTTATTACAGATAAATACTTACCACAGCCTGGCGATCCTAACCTTTGTTATCCGCAACTATACCCGACGGACATATGTAAAGCGTGCAGGGAAAGGGCCGCACTGCGGCACAAGCTTTGGGAGTGGGCCGGAATAGTTAACGTCACTGCTACCACTCCCTTCGACAAGCATGTTAGGCAGGGATGAACTAGAGTGTACTAGAAGTGTAGACGAGCTACCACCGCGCTAGGACAGGGGCCGGCCTCCACCGCGGCTGCGGTCACGGTTGCCGATCGGCGGCTGGGAGGCGGCACTCGCCAGCGATGAGCTGGCTGACCAGCTTTGGGCCGCCCGGCAAGCTGAAGATGCCGCCCGGGTCAAGGGCTTCGAGCGGTCACCTGAGGCACCAACATCATAATCGACGGAGGATGAGAAGGGACAGATGTTCATCCTCTCTTCCCCCTTCACCTTGTGAAAACTGCCGGACTTTAAATAAAGTTCATTAATTCATTTATTCATTTATTTCATTCGTCGTTCTTGTCGGGCAGTATCTGTTCAAGTTGAAAGCACACGAACTCTCCCAATCGGCAGTTCTGATGCTACTCATGCCCACTATAAGCCTTTTGAAAAATTGCAGGAGCCTTGACTCCGCCTTTAGGAGCTGAACGTGATAGTGTGCCTACGCACTATAGGCAGAGGAATGTCCCCTTAAATATTTCCTAAAGGCGGCCAATAAATAATGTCCTTCGATATACACAATCATTTCGCCTTCTGAGTCTTGTGTCAGATCAAACAACCGAGTGTACGAAAATATGCAAGTATTGCTGGTGTGCGCAATCGCAATCACGTGTAGTGTGCGCTAGGTGTAATGATTGTACCTTTGGTTTGCCGTATTTTATCACTGTGCACATAGTGCATTTGGCGTCGTTCTGAATGAAGGTACTACATGTACATGCTGTGAAGGCAGAGTTTATATGGAGCCATAGCGTGAAACGTTGAAAACATTGGAAATCCTTGGGATCAATCTGATGCGACGAACTTTTTAGAGGCGCGTCTATTCATGAAAACAGACAACAAAAGAAACTTTTACTGAAACTAATATAACAAGAATACAGGCTTTTTGTGGCTGCTAGGGCAAGATTTAAAGAGTGATTTAGCTTCATCACGCTGCACAAATTATGTCATAGTAGAAGCAGAAGAATAAACACGTACAATAAAACAAGAAAAAAAATACCCCTAGGCTTAGCTTTTAAGAGTTGAATGCAATAGCGATATTCGGTCCCAAGTGTATAGTTGAATCGCTGTTTGCTTACTCTTTATTGCTTGTTGTTAATCATAAAATATAAATTGTAGATTACTATGGCTGCTTTCTGCGTAATTTTTGCCGTGGTTCACAACATGAGCAATTATGCTCGTAAATAGTTTTCGAACATTGCTATGCACCGAGTACGCGTGGTATCAAAGAAATACGTGCAGTAACCTGTGTGCCTTTTGTATTAAGGTGCGGCCTTTAAACCACGTATTCATTATGATATTCACTTTTTGTCACGCCCGACGACATTGTACGCTTGTGCAATGCAATATAACTGATTTAACTCATTACATTGTGAAGCCTGTATACAGGAAGCCTGCATTTCTAAAGCATGAACGTTATTTTCCCTTGAGTTCCGAGCAGAGAAAGAAAGCATGTGCTTGCTTGGGTGTACATCCATGCAAGCACATGGCTGTACACCAATGTAGGTGCATGAAACCATGCAATGACGTGGGTGCGATTCTCACCCAGACCCATATTTTTTAATATTTACTTTATTTTGAATAATTGATTGATTATTTTGAATATTTCTCAAATTGTGGGCCACACGGAAAGTTTTTTTGTTCACAACCAATGATGCCGATTCCGACTTTGTTGCCGACTCCAGAATTGCTGCAAAAACGAGCTTTATTGCGTTAAAGCAAGTTTAACAGGCAGTAGCGTAGCCAGGTAGTAAAATAAGCCCATACTATCCTTCCCCCTTCTCCGGAAAAAAATTCTCTACGCCTCTAGTTGGAACGTGCATTTAAGGCAGTGTAGCGCCAAATGTGCATTAGCGGTAGATTTGACTTTCGTCTTGTGCTCTCTGAGGGTATCGGTGAGGCATGGTCGGTTTGTCCAATGTAAAACCGGTCGCCGGACGAAAAAATCTAGTAAATGACGCATGTTCTGCAAGGGAGAAATGGCTTGCTCTGCTTCTTCAGGCATACATCACTGACGTTCTTATTGAGATTTGTTTTCTTGCACAACTATGTATGATTGCACTCCAGATGTTAACACAATACCGTCGTCATTGCCTACAGAAACAGAAGCGTTGCGTTGCTATATAGCCTTGTGGATGATGGTCCCATTCGCGGCATTGCGGAAGAATCAGCTGGGACGGAGCACTGCGCTATGCGACAGAAACGAAAGAAAATAATGCATCAGACACGAGCATGCTAAGCTTCGTCAATACCTATATTCCTCAAAAATGATTGCTCCTGAAAAATCTTTCTAAGGTTGGAACCACATTTGCGTCACAAAAACGAAATTTTACCGTTGGCGTCTGGGGTCAGTGGCGTCTCGCGTCCCATGGCGTTGGGGTCACGTGAAGCAAGAAAAAAAATCAGTAGATGGTCGACGCCCCCATAAGATGTCACGAAGATGTCACAGGGCCATCAAAGTTTGTGACGTCGCTAATACGTTTTCACGACGTTAGGATGACGTTGTGTCACTTTACGTCACATGATCAGGTCATCGTATCGCATCGTGGTTTGATGAAAGTTGATTTGATCTTGGATGCAGCGCAAAACAACGTTAGGTGCAGAACATCGAGTTTCCTGAAAAAATGAGGGGACTGTGGAACTTCTATGATTCCGCGACCATGAGTTGTATACAAATTTGCCTAGTCTTCACGCTTGTGGGATTGAAACGCACCCTTGGCTTTGTTTATTGCTGTGCTTTGGTTTAGTTTCGAATAAAAAAACAGGCCGTTGGGAACATTGAGAACGTCGTGACGCTAATTGAATCAATGAGTTTAAAACGTTAAGGTGGTGAAACGTAACTGCTATACCTTTCCGATAGTTGTTTCGCAACAAAGTAGCTGCAAGGCACGCGAAGTCAACCGGAGCCGAACGTACGAAGATTAGACAAATTTGTGTACTACTCATCATTGTCATGCTTGCTGAAACGACGTGCGGTGCACCTCCCGAAGCCACTAGTGCCGGAGTTCATTATAGTATAATTAAAGGAAACTGTGAGGTGCAAAATCTTTCGAAGGGTGGTGGAGCATCATATATAAGTCGGCTGAAAGTAAAAATAAGAGGGCTAGTTGCCTTGGAGTCGTTTCAAGCTAATGCTTGAAAAATTATGCGAGTTTGTTTTCTGAGAGGGTGCAAAAAATATCTGGCAGCGAGGCTGAGAGCTTATGCGTGCACGCGACAATAAGGTGGAAGGGGTATCAGTGTTTCTGTTCTTTTTACAAGAACAATACAGTGATGCATCTACTTGCATCGGTTGCACTGTGGGGCGCGAGGCGGAATGTGCGAGAGCAAATGCTTGCTTAAAATAAACATTTCGATGACGCCATTGTTATCGCACCTCAGTCAAAGCAAGAACAGTGCTCACTATAGTGACAGGTGATCGGGGCAAGTGACGTCAAATTGAAACGACATGTTTATGCGCGTAATTTGCTAAGAGCCCAGTTACAAGTAAACACAAAACTTTCTCTGACTTATTCACTTCCAGTGGGCCTCTGATGTACTGATGAATCTCAGCACAATGTATCAGGTCCGCCAATCAAGCAGTTCATCAATTAGGACGAACAGTTTACATTCATTACCAGTGCGTGGCACAACAATGAAGAAAAACGAAATTCTTGTTTCGCATTGGTTGAGGCACATTGGCACAGTGATACTCACGTACAAATTTGGGCCGGCAATAAAATGAGTTTTTCAAACATTTATTGCTCTTTTCCTTTTATTGCTTGGTGTTTTTTTGCCCTATGCATTTATTTTTTTGACCACTGTGCAGAAGGCGCAAGACGTTGCGGTCTAATTTTTTAGAGTAAACACCGCATCTCTAGGTAGCAGTGGGGTATATAGACTACACGTGGAGCATCTCCTGAAAACCCACAGTTTACAACTGCACTGTAAAGCTAATTTTGATCGTAGCACTGTGTTAGTGATAACGGCATCATAAAAAAAAAGACAGCGCACATTCGACTCTTCAACTATTTCAGAATGATTCACCTGAAGTGTCATTGCTTAAAAAAAATGGTGACATTGATGCAAATGTTGTGGCCCCACTTGGTTTCTTTCACTCTACTTTTTTTTTACGTAGATAAAGTGCGTAAATAAAGGGCGTATAACGAAGAATATACGCGCAGAATCCTCTCAATAGAAGTGAGTAGAAGGGGGTTGCTCTTGAGTAACACCCGGGGAGCGGTCACTCTTGAATGGGCTGGGAACTTCGAAGGACGTGCTGTCAGACTTCACATGTGGCCCCGAGGATGGTAGGGAGACGCCGAGTGCATAACCCACCGAGGGAAAGGTTGGCCGCTTGCCGCGACTCAGAGAACCCAGGGTAATCGACCGTCGTCGTCCAAGCATATCCTGAGCATGCCAGAGGAACGTGCAAAGTTTGAGACAAAGGCCTTTTCACTTAGCGAATCTGAAGAGCCCAATGTAGCACTCGCATTGGCATTACGGTATTCCGCGCGCTATACGTAAGCCCTTGAGGCACGCTATTCGAAAAAGCTTTAACAACGTCTCCTGAGGCACTGGGTTGTCTATACTGTGCACAAGGACAGCGTTGCCATTGTAGAAATAGAAAAAAGTGACAAAACATAAAATATAAAGTGGCCAAACGTAGCTCCACCACTTCCGTTTAGCGACATACTCTTAGTCGCACAACAAAGCATTACTGATATTTACTTATACAATTAGTTGTGACATGAAAGCTATTGCATCCGCTAAGTTAAGCGAAGCGTAGGTTAAAGCGCATATCTGTTCTTCTGACGCTTCTTGTTCAAGTGACTGATAAGTTCGAAACAGATTGTTACAGTAAGACCATTTCAAAAAGGGAAACCTTGCTGGAGACAAACATTTCAGGTTCACATAGTAGGTGATCTATGTTTTCGCCAATTGCATATAGGAGCACGCTCTGCGCATAGGCAATAAAACATAGCGTGGTTGTATACAAGTGCGCCATTCTACTTCGTCCTTGCGTTGCGCCTTGTCTGCAGAGTTGCAAGCCTATAAAGGCGGGAACCCTATGTGCACCCGCCGGCTATCTGAAGAAGGACATCTGCATTTCCGATGCGGGCGGAAATGCTGTAGGCCCGTGTGCTCAGATTTGTGTGCATGTTAAAGAACCCCAGGTGGTCGAAATTTCCGGAGCCCTCCACTACGGCGTCTCTCATAATCATATGGTGGTTTCGGCACGTTATACCCCACATATTAATCAATGAAGAAGGTTATGTACATGCATCAAATTATGCTACAGAAAAGCTTGAAAACCTTGAGTAATCAATCAATAAATCAGTTAATCAATCGATTTTCGCTGCGTTTGTGTGAAAAGCGACTAAATGTGCGACGAAAGTTTCACAAAAGCGGGCGTTTTGAGTGTGGGAAGTAAAACACACCATCGCGCGGTGAAACTGACACTCGTCACATTGCATGACACATTGAAAAACGTTTTTTTTTAAACGCCTGCGAATGCTTTCTGCGGAACAATGCAATACATCTCAATGCAATACCTCTCAATTCTCATTCACTCCTGTGAATCGCAATTAGTCGTGCGATAAAGTCGCAAGGCCACTCGTCGCAAATGGCAGCTCTAGTCGCAAACCCACTGCTTTTGCTTAGGGTTTGCCCACACATACGAGTAGTGCCAATCGTGTAACCAATTGTGAATGTCGACCAAAAAGGGACTGAAGGTGACTTTTTGTCACAGCTTCGCGAGAGTTATAAGAAGTCGCCAAGAAAGAACTAACGTCTGGTCACACATACCTCTCGTTTTCCTTCATCCGCGAAATAGCTGACTCACTGTTCATGCGTGTACGATTGGTTGAGTGGTGTGCGAGTGAGTCGCACGACTGAAAAATTGAGCAAGTAATCGCTTTGGGCCTAAAGAGGCCACTTCTGCATGTTTGTCGCAAAGTGGCCATATTTGTGACAAACTCGTTCACGCGAACGTTGCTACTCGCGTTCTTGAATGAGTCTCATAGTCGCTCGCTGCTGAACTTTTTCAGTTGCCACTGCACTCGCCAGCTTCTGAACCAATTCACGACTCAGGTACGCAGGACATGAAGTTGTTTTACGTAGCAACTAATCCGATGTCCGGTTGCGTACAGGTCGCACAAAATTGTGAAGATCAGTCGCCTTGAGTCGCTGTTGGTCGACAGTCACGAGTCCTTGCGCGAGCCACGCTAACCGCAAGTGGGAATGATCTTGAAAAGGGACCAGTTTTCCAAGTATTCCTCGAATGCACAACTCAGTATCGGAGTTTCTTTTGTGTGCACTACGATGTTTTTCCGCGAACCACCAATAACGAGTGGTGTTGCAGCAGTCTGTTGCGTACACTTTAACTGCTTTCTCAATGCTCTTGTCCCGATCAGTGTGCTGGAAGCTACAGAAGGAGAGATGGCGCTGGGAAAGGCATTTGGGTCTTGAAGAAGGAAGTTACTTTGAGTGCATGCGGTGAAACGCAACTTCCCCCTCCCGCAGTAATGAAAAGCCCACGCTCTGGCTGGTGAGAGTATTTTGCGACAAGAAGCAAATTCAATCAAAGCGCATATCTTGAGTTGTGTCAGCTATTGGCCAACACAATAGCATGCTACCTGTGGTTTGACGTAAAAAAGCAGGCTCTGGCAGCCTCGCAGAGTGAGCATGGAGCGAGAAAATAACTTAGCACACCGCTCCTGAATTTCCATTTTCCTGCTCGAATACATGATCTTAGTGAGTTCTTCATAACAGTCTGTCGTTCACATAATGCGTTTTCTCGCAAAGCGTGAGCGTGACTCCTGACAGATTTAAAGCGTCGTGTCAATCTTGTGCCCACATGCATTGCTTTGATTCTCCCTGTAACACTTTTTCAACTTGCCAACAATGAATTAATTATGTAAAAAGCTTATTGCCTCACGGACTGACTACTGCAAAAAACTTTAGAATCTATCTAGTACGAGCGGAAGTACAAATAGTTGCCAGACGCGGCAATTGGTTATTGTTTTGTTCTCTCGTCCCAACGAAAGCGCTGGAAGGTAAGTAAGAAAAATAACATCCGGTGAATATCAACCGAGAAATTGCCTATATGATTCAGGTAAACCCACTGCGACAAACCACCTCCGAAAAAAAGATTACCTTTTCATTAGCTCTTGATTCATCCTTCACATTGTGCAATTGTCATTTGTTTTTTTTTCCTCTTATGTCCTTTGTGTTGTTCTGTACAATTGGTCATCAGGGCTCATAAAAACAAATTTACAAACTTGTTATATTGTTGTGTACTGAATACAGCAAGTTTTATTATTGTGTTTTGATTACCTGAATGATGTGTGCTGTATTTTGACCATTTATTGTTACCTATGTTTGCCTATGCTCCGCAGTGTTCCACCTCTAAGCAATGTATGGGTAGGGGGCCTGTGTCAGGCAGTCATATCTGCCTTTAGCCCCTTCATTCCATACAATCATCGTCTGAAGAAATTTCTAATTCTCTTCAAGTCAATTGGCACGAGTGAGGAAAATGCATAACACGTGCCTCTAGACTGTGAACGTATTTTTTTTTCTTTGAACGCATGGTTTTTCAGGGTCATAGCGCGTGCGCGTGTGGACAAGCCGCAGCATCTCGTGGTGGCCCCAGAAACTTCAGAGCGTGCTGTGCTTAAATCAGCTAACTGTGAAGCTTTGGCCCGTGACGTAGCAATTTGTGAGCCCATCGTGAAAAAAAGAAAGGGATTTTTAGCTAACTTAGAGGCATAATTTCATGTGCCAGGGAGTGAGCAGCGCTCTAATATTTGGATCACGTTTTCCTGTTCTCTACTACCGATAGGCAGTGTTTTCTGACTATGCTTAAAAAGTGTTTCAAGGTCCAAGTATGGGCTCCCCACAAGCCACCGATTATAAACAGGAAACCAATAGATCAACAGAGCCACAGAAAGGTAAAATTATTGGACTGAACGACACGATTCTCGGTACGTGCAGTGCATGGTCAATCATCGCCAATCACACTTTATATTGCCTTTTCTTCTTTGCCATTATGAATTAGCTCCACAAGAGGATTGTGCGTTCAACGGCATTCGTATTGACTTCATTTAGCGCTGACACGTCGGTTAGTGGTGGTACCGAGATGTGTATATAGTAGCATAATTGGATTGCTCGACGCATCAGCCTCGGCCGAGGTAAATGCAGCGTCTTAAATGAGCAGCTTAATCAGGGGACGTGAATCATCGTCCACATCTTTAACGAATCAAGGAAGGCCGCGGCAAACGCCTAACATGCTGCGAATATCTGTAGAACAGCTACGCAAATTAAAGGAAAGTATTTCACAGCTTATATTTTATCTCGATCAAGGAAGCCGCTGATAATCGTAGTCCCACTTATACGCTGAGCTCGTCACTAGGGAAATGAATTCTCAAGCGAATTCCTTACAGCTCGCGCTCAGTTCACGTGCAGGTCGCAAACCGTCGCTTCGCGTTCACGTACCTCGATGGGGCACTCGTCAAGCAAGATGCTCTCCAGTGGGAGGTGCTTGGTCTCCGGCATGAAGTAGTAGAGCACCAGTCCGTTGGCGAGCGTTAGGGTGCCGTAAAACCAGGCCATCTCACCGAAGCTGAAACCTGCGCGCACGCGCTCGAAGAAGGTGACGCTGCAGAATGCGCATGCCCAGTGGAAAGTGCACACACTGCCGAACTCCACGCCATGGCCGCGGAGAGGCGTCAGCTCTGCAGCCTGAAAAAAAAAAACAGTTTGCAGGGGCACGGGCAATAATCACTGCTGTGGTTTTACTTACGAAATACACGACATTAGATATGAATAATATAATAACACTGGTGCTTAGCGTTTTACGTGCCAAGACTTGCATACGAGTATAAACGCTGCTGTGGTGGATGCTGTGGGAAATTTCGATTATCTGGTGTCTTCCGACATCCACTGACATCGCTAGTTACACAGGCTTTAGACACTTTTCCAAGCCCGAATTCCGGCGGGATCGATTCCATGGCCTTTACGTTAGCGGAAGAGCACCACAGCGACTCAGTTGAGCCCAAGTTACCTCGCAAGGTTGAGCTCGTCATAAAAACCATTTACTACAAGAGATACAGATTGCTCAAAAGGGACAAAATCCAAAAAAATGGCCCCGTATCTGCATGTTAATCTGCAAATGTCGTCGAAAGACAACAGTTTTGCGTGTGGAGAAAGTGAACAAAACATTTATTAGATGTTCTGTGCAAGAAATCGGTGAATGGTATTAGAGAGTTTTAGTACTGCGTACGCTGCGTACGTGGTGGCGTTGCGTACGTAAGGACGCCACGTTCTGCGTAGTTCGCATGCGCAGACCGCAACGCGCTCGTATTGCATTACGTACGCAGCCGATACGTACGCACGCATCAGATGCGTGCGTGCGTACGTATGAGGTGATCGCGCGTCTTTCGAACAAGTTCGCGAAAGCGCGAGACTTCGTTTTGCAAAATGGTGGCATCGAAGGCAAGCACCGACCGGCTCTGGGGCTTAAAATATGGCTAAAGTGAGCTAGAATAGGGTAGTGGGCTTGCTGGGGTCCCCTGCTGGACGCTGGGTATGTCACACGTGTGGTGGCGCCACCAGCGACTTCAATGTAGGTCACTGCCTGACGGAGGCGTTGGTGCGCAACTGAAATCATGCTTTTTGTGCGCTGTTATCCCATGCACTGGACGGAAATGCACGCGAATTTCGGCAGTGTAAACGGTGATGCTGATGTTGCTAAGACACTAAAAACAAAGAAAGAAAACTAGCGTGGAGCTAGGTGCGCAGGCCGTTGGCCTACATGTGCGCGTAGGTAACCATCTAGAACATTGTAGCATGGTGTATGCAGCTATACTGTTAGCTCGTTATTTGATGTTAAATTAAACACACCGAATACCGTCAGTACTCGTGCGAATAAAGCTGTAGAAAACATTCTTTTCATAAACACTGTCGGCGTAACTTGCGCGATTACACTGCATGCAGAACTCGATGCATGCAAGGGATGCTGTGCAAACATGAGATGCATTTAAGTTCTTCTACAAGTGATAAGCAGCGATGGCGAACTTTTCAAAGCTTACGTTGTGCGGCTATCAATTGTAAACTGGATTCTTTGCATTTCTCGGGCCCTATACTTTCGTCACACACGCCTTTTACGAGCGTGTGAAATTATTACCCATGCTGACCTTGGCACACACTCGGGAGTTTACCACGAGCTTATACGTTTCACCGCATTTAAAAATGTTCACCTGTTCATTCTTTCTGCAGATCTCCATTATCTTTGCTCTGTAATTTGGCTATTTCTCCACTGAATATTCCTATGCAAAGACTGTAAAAATCCACAGATAAGAAAAACAGTAAGCCACTCTCCCCAAGTACTGGGCACAAGTACATGAAAATTTATTCATCAGATATATATTGGGCACAGTTGCTTACTGGATATTTCTTCTTCAGGAGCAGCGGCTCAACTTTAGATGCTTTGCCTTTCCCCGCTTCTATCAGAATTATTGCCTTCACAAAACCGCGTAACAGTATAAAAGCTGATTACGTCTTCTGAGAGGCCAGGGGCATGTTGTGCACACCCAACTTCTTGGGAAAACTTTTCTTTCACGATTGTCAATACATCGAAAATGCTGTCCGAATGCAACTTGTGGCAAGAAAAGCACTCCGTAAACATGTTTTCTAGCTTGCTCACAAAACTGTACAAGTGGCTAGATGGATACAACAGTCCACCTTTACTAGAGTATACAGTTGGGCATGTTAGTAAGACATACCTAATCGACGTAGCGCGTTTTGAAACATAGGACAAGGGAAGGGACAGAAGGGAGCGCTTACTTCCAACAAAACTTTTTTGCGAGGAGCGTACATATATATGCTCATGAAATTCTAAAAAGCACTTAACACTGTTTGTCACATGCCCGCAATTTGTAATCTATCCGATACCTCTTTCATGCGGTAAACACTACATAGGACAAACTGGCAGGTGTAATAATGACCGGCTCCGCGAACACGCTTGCAACGTAAAAAATGGTCGAGATGGTTTTTTGGCACTACATTGCAGCACGTGTGGCTGCAAACCACTTTTTCATGGTACGGTAATCATAGGAAAAAACATAAATAAAGTGACAAGGGAGATTATAGAAGCAGAAAGGATCAGTAGATTAGGGCTGAACTGCGTCACCAATCCTTCTCTCGGTCTTTGTGAAAAAGAATTGTCGTTTTTGAGATCATAAGTTTTTAGCGCATGGCAATAGAGGGTTTTTCATCTGTTTGTCTGTTGTTTTCGAATTTCATGAGCATATATATGTACGCTCCTCGAAATAAAGTTTTGTTGGAAGTAAGCGCTCCCTTCTCTCCCTTCCCTTGTCCTATGTTTCAAAACGCGCTACGTCGATTAAGTAAGTCCACCTTTGTCACGAAAGGTGGTTAGACGAGCGAGCTGAAAATCTTCTCCTTGAGCTAGCATCGTGAGTAGTGTTATGCAAACTTCGCAGTTTGTTTTAATGACACACTTTCACGCAACATAGCCAGCAACATAAAAGATCAGCGTGGAATCACTTCTAACAATATGCTGTTTGTGGTCAATAGGTGCTGGCACAAAACTAGGCTCATTCACAGTGCTTGCACTGCCAACTGAATCGTCTTGTGGCAGTGTGTCAGTAGCAGCATTGATCTCCAGCAATGAAGCTAGCTCGCCTTGGTCACAATTCCCCAGGCTAACTGCTTTCACGAGACCATATAATGACAGACAAGTAATGGTTAGCAAAAACTTAGTTGGCGTGGGGTGGTCGTTGCTGCCGGATAACTGACGTATAATACCAAATAAATTTTTAAATGCGTCTTGGCTGGTCTTTGATGTCATTCTGTATTTAAATGCTACTTTTGTCAAATAAGAAAGCATTTATAGCACACTGGTTATAGTCCCACGCAGTCCAGTCACGTAGATTATATGCACGTAGTCCCGTAGCACATACTTCGGCTGAAAATGAAGGTCACACACGACAGATGTGTCGTCCAGGGCTTTGTCCGCTCGATGTAAATTTCTTTCCCATTGCTTCTTCAGGGCTGTATCCTTCGGAACGCCGAACAAAGACGGCGTCTTGCTGCCCTTCACGTGGACGTAACCTGTACGACAGCTTGGCGCAAAACAGGGTTTTGCCGCCGCGGAAGCATTTTAACCTCGTTTGAGGGTCACTGCTTGTCAGGCCACATTACTGTTCGCCGAAGAACCTAGGGGATTGAGGATGCAAAGCGCGACGAGTTCTCAAAGTAACAAAACTCGCACACACCGACTACCACTCCAAACAGGCAGCAACTGCCCCAGCGCCAACGCTCGCTAAATTTAATGCGGGGGTGGCGCCACGCCGCGGAGGCGCGCCGAAGCACGTTTGTGTGACATTGGCGACGTCATCGCAATGCATGGCGCCGGCCGGCGAGTGAGCCCACTACCCTATTCTAGCTCACTTTATATGGCCATAATCTGGCTATAACACTTGGATTGGCTCACATTGGCTGTCAACAACACGTGCTTCTATTCTAATCTACCAGATGGCGCAACACGCTTCACGCTCGTTACGTACGCGGGTACTACGGCGTACTAAAAGCCGATCAGTGGCAAACGACACCACGTAACGCAAGACGCTTGCGTGATGCGTACGTAGCAACATTCCGCAGTACTAAAACTCTCTAATAACTGCTCTGGTTTTACGTACGAAACACACATTAGATATGAATAAAATAATAACAATGGTTCTTAGCGTTTTACGTTCCAAGACTTGCATACGAGTATAAACGCTGCTGTGGTGGATGCTGTGGGAAATTTCGACCATCTGGTGTCTTACGACATCCGCTGACATCGCTAGTTACACAGGCTTTAGGCACTTTGCCAAGCCCAAATTCCGGCGGGATCGATTCCGTGGCCTTTACGTTAGCGGAAGAGCACCACAGCGGCTCAGTTGAGCCCAAGTTACCTCGCAAGGTTGAGCTCGTCATAAAAACCATTTACCACAGGAGATACGGATAGCTCAAAAGGGACAAAATCCAAAAAATGGCCCCGTATCTGCATGTTAATCTGCAAATGTCGTCGAAAGACGATAGTTTTGCGTGTGGAGAAAGTGAACAAAACATTTATTAGATGTTCTGCGCAAGAAATCGGTGAATGGTATTCTGAAGGCGGTGCGCTAAGCCGCGTTCACACTGAGCATTCCGGCCGCCAAAAGTGCTCCGAATCCGATGCGGCGGCGGCGAGATCAGCCGAAAGGGCCCTCTCCGCGCCGATCGCTCTCGGACCAATTTTTGCGGCGTCTGCCGCCGAATCGGTCACTGCGGACCAATAGGAGCGCTAGTCAAGGACTTTTGAAAAATGGCGGCCAAGCCCTACTCACTTGTTATGCCGCAGTGCACGTAACTGAATGTTGAAACCAACGGGAGTTTAACCTACTCTGTGCCTACTTCATCTCCGTATTTCGTGGAAGAGGTGACCAAGCTTGCTGTTGGCGTGACCGAGCTTGTTGCGGTCTTGCAGAGCAAAACAAACCCACCAACACCACTGGCGTCGGTGGTTTTTCTGCTCTTCGTGCATCACAAGACAGCTACTTGCCAGCAAAGTAAGCAGTACTGTCTTTTCTTGCTTCTTGCGTACGAGAAACGTCGAAGTATACGCCACCGGATAGCGTAGTAGCGTCTGCGAGCCGCGACAACAACCGGGTGACAGCGCATCCATCCCGCGTTCG